CTTACTATGGTCTCAACTTCAACACAGGACTGACCCCTCCCCCGCCCACCTTCCTCTAACCTTTCCATGTTCTCTGCACACATATACAAGTCCTGATCGCTCAGTCTATCAGCACAGTCGCGCCTCTGCTGGCCCCTACGCATTAGAGCCTTTAGAAGATGTGAACACTGACGTTAAGGGAAAACAGGAGAATGGCCCTAGTGCCATTCGATCAGAATCGTGTGAAGATTGCCAACGTGTAGCCAAGAGAAACCAGCACAGTGCATTTTGCCACAAAGCAAGTTGGATTGGTGCTTGATTTCGTACTACATGTAGCTTTTTCCAGAATTTGATAGCCTTCCAAATTATAGATACTAATCCTGAATTGGAGGACTCTCTTCAACAAGGACAAGCTGTGAAAACTTTACAACGTAACATAACCTATGAGCCATACCATATTCCGACTTTGCCAGACGTCACAGGTTCAACTCCCACTCCAGTAAATTTTTTGCTCATCTTTGTAATTCTTTTTATCAGAATGAAATGTGTAAATTGGGGATTCAACAGACTTTTGTACATTTCTCGGCCCAAATTACTTTGAAAAGAGCACATGAAATCTGGGCTTGCCCATGCATAAGCAGTTGGAAAAGCGACCTGGCCACATTCTTGAACACTATTGATCTGCTAAAGTCTGTCTGTACTTCAGGTATCACTCAAATTTCTGTCGAGTGTTTGGCTTTCATGTTTTCTTTACTCAATCCAATGTGCCTCGAGCTGGGCCAAGAGAGGGTACGCGCTATTTTCTTAGCAACAGAGACCCTTTTGGTGAGAACTGAACTTTGCTGGTTCACCAACGACTGGGGAATGCACACGTCCAAGTCGCATTGCTGCCAACAACTGAACACTCCCGGCTAATGCGGCTCTCTTCAACTGATGGAGTGCTTCTGCTTGAGATGGATGCTAAACTCTCTCCAAACCCACCCCAGCGGTATGTAGTTTACAAATAAATAGGGTAATAATAAGCATAATGACATGCAAGCATTTAAGTAGCTAATCTATTTCACTACATGTGCTACGATTTGATTTTAAAACACATCTTTCTTAGGATATGCTGTAGACAGGCGAGGTAACTGGCAAGTGAACTCATCACGGTCCTCGGGTAGCCAATCAGAAGGCTTCTCAGAACTTGGCACAGTGTGTTGAAGGCCAGTGGGAACTCGGCATCGGTTACCATGGAGAAGGGCACCATCAGGCAGAAATACTGGGCATGCATGGCCTCGTCCGGTGACACTAGGCACTAGAAATGAATGAAAAGTGAGTAATGTGGGGTACTGTATAATTACAAACAACATGAAAGTTGTGCCTTGGCTCAATCTGTGAATAGAAACTTGACTTTTGGCGGGGAAGGGAGAATAAGATGTCTTAAATTGCACCTCCCAAGTTGAAGGCCCAAGTATTTTGATCTAGTGCTTTAAAATACCTCTACAGTCAAACCTGAATGATTGTTTCTAGTTAATTCAGCACCTCCTTTCTTACCTTTCCTTGCCCTGTAAGACTGTTCACAGCTTGAAGAACTGAAATGGCCACAGTGCCACCAACAGACCAATCCTTTACAGCAGTCTTCAGCACTTCCAGCAAGTTCAACATCACCTGTGCCAAAACCGAAAGGAACCAAGAAACCATAGGCCCACTCTTCATGAAATAAACATGGGGAAGACTGGCAACGTGCCCCACCAATACCCTAGCCCTATCCTCTATCCAAAGTAAGTCTAGCTCAACAGGTACTTCTACTTTTCGCTTCGTAACATTTCAAAAATTCTTTTTTAGATCATCGTCTCTCCCCATAATGACATCCAGACCAATCCTGGATCAACCACGAACGGAGTCATTATGATCTACTACACAAACAGTTTTTAGCCAAGTATGACCGGGTTTGAAATACCTGGCTGGGGGCTTGAATTAACACAAGTGATGAAATGGAGGCCACTGGCTTGTGGCTGTAGACACATTCCACTGACACGTGTGTCTACTTCTAGCCACAGCCAGTTGACCAGGACATGGCTTTGTCTTACATTGTGCCCTTTCATGGTCTGTTAAACAAAGGCAAATCTACGGCCACACAACAGGAGTCGCCACAAGAGGGACATAGCCCTTTCCGGGGGGAATGTAATTTACATCACTTTTCCTACTTTTATTTTTCCTTTCTCTTTTATTTTTTTTTGGGGGGGTGGCTAATGTCAAAGGGCGCACCTGAGGGATGACGTCACCGAGTGCACCCTGGCCCTTCTCTGATGCAGCGCAGCTCGTTGGTAACAGTTGCCAAGCAACCAAGGGACCCCGCAGATGTGAGCAGCAATCAGCATCCAGCTCCCCTTTGAGTGACTGGAAGAGAAAAGATAAACGGGCATGAACAAACCATCCCTCAATGCAAATATGGGCAAAAGATTGGCTTGTGGAGAATATATCGATAACGATGAACACAATTAGAGCAGCTGTCACTTGTACGAGATACGGGTATCCCAAGACCAACTTGAAAGGAAAGGGAGAGGGGTACTTCAGTCCTCTTTGATAAAAGCTAATACTTGAATGATGACGGCAATTGCGAAGGGGGGAGGTTGAAAAAGACGAATGTGATTGTTATTGAATGAACTGTGTAATGTGTCCACCTGTCACGCTGCCAAGCAGACCGGCGCCCAATTTCACAGCACTGCTTACCAATCAGCAGGAAAGCTGTGCCAACTGTGGCAGTAAAGCACGCTGCTGGTTGAGAGCTCCTTCACAGCACGGATGTGCTGGTATTTGGAAGCCCAAAAGGATTTCTGTTATTACTCCACCCACTCAGGCAACCTCTTCCCCTGGAGTTAAATATGCTTTTTGGTGGGTTTTTTATACTGCTTACTGTTTTTTTCTCTTTGGAAGCAACGGAGCCTGCATAGTGAGAAATTCAGTGGTTAATTAGAACGGTGAAATTAGGTCCAGGTGCTTCGCTGAACAAATTACCAAGTCTTGCAGAAGATCGCTCAGCAATGAGCAGAACTGAACCACGTCCATGGTCTGGATAAAAACTACAAGGGTGCTCTTTATGTCTGCAGAAGGAAAAAACAATGCGCGGCATTCTCATTAGAAAATGATTTTTATTGGTAAAACTAAGGGAGTGACAAATGAACGCAAAAAAGGTAGATTGAAAATGAGGAAATTTGGTCATATCTGAAACGGTGTTTTCCACGCCTACAGATGGCCAAAAGCTTGAAGAAATATCTTTTGGGATTAACTTGTGAATTTAATTTCAGAATGAATGAAACAAACAAAAATGAAAAAAAAAAGTTGAAAAGCAATATCCCATCATCCTAAATAGAAATGTTTTGATAAATTTAAATAATTAAACATTAGATACAAATGGACTAAGTAAACTGAGGAAAGAAATAAGATTACATGTACATAACACTAACAGCAATCGTCCAACTGACAAACAAACCAAACATCTGACAAACACACCGACCAGCAAATAAAGGTTTATCAGAGGTACACAAAGCTATTACCGTCCATAATACTCTTGCCCAAATGATCCCTGGTCCCCATGAGTGACACCAATGCCTGCCACATCTCACTGGTAGCCATGCCCACTGTGCCCGCATCACAACACTGACCAATGAAAAGGCTGCTTGTCTGCATGAACGCCAGGCATGCACAAATCATGAGGTTGCTCTCCTCAGCTGAGCCAAGGCACGTACAAATTTCCTGCAATACGGGGTTCAAGACATCAGTCCACATCTCCTTGGTATCAGGTGCCATGACAACGCTTGTTTCCATGGTATCCTCTTTAACAGCTGAATCCCATTCAACTCCTGATTCCACAGTCGAGGTCAGATTGTCTGTTCTGACTGTCCGCAGAGTGAATTTCATGAGAACTGTCCCAACATTCGCCAGACAGGTTAGCAATCTCGGGCAGGTGCTTGCACCCCGATTGCACCCAAGCACACCGTTGAGCATCTTTATGATTGGTTGTTCCAAGTCATATGACCAATTGCTCCCCGGGGACCCAGGTGAGCCCCTGCTGGCAATCAGGGAGCTCAGAAGAGCCGTGGCGACCGTTAGAAGTGGAATATTTGCAGACAGGACTTGCTGAGAGTTCCTTGCGTGGGAAAGGTGTCGGCTGAGATCCTCCAACTTAGACTTGATCTGAAATCAAGGCAAAATTTTTCAACAAACCCAGAAAAATACCAGTATATAGTGCATTGTGAGGGAATATAACCTAGAACATAGGAGTTTACAAGGTTAAAAATCAACAATTGAGTTTTTTTCTGTCCTCGGCATGGGGGAGAATAAAAAAATAATCCTACTCATAAATGGTACAAGCTGGGAATAGAACCCAAGACCATGCTAGTCCCCGCATATGCACTAGCCATCCGTACCACCCTGTTTCACTATGAAGAAAAACTGCATAGTGAAAACTTATACATAAAAGTTATTGTCCAATCATAATCTTTCACAAGGAACAGATATTAATACCATATGAGAGTAATCTCTGAAAGAAGTTTCCTGATTGGGCAGCTGCCGCAGTCGTTTCAGCCAACAGGTGAGCAGCTCTTCTGTGATGTCGTTCAATATGCCATCAACCTCTTCAACACTTTTCCTGCTCATCTAAAAAGATATCAAAGGATACAGTCAGACAAAGGCAGGCTAGTCTTTCATTGCCTGAAAATTCATACCAACACGCAATGGCCACTTTAACCGAATGCTGTCAAACCTTGTTTTTAATTAAGGACTACCCTGATATATAAGTTTTGGAATCAACTGTACTTTTTAATGGCTCCTATCAACTGTTATAAGCGTGCACCTTCTTCTTGTTGGAATCAATGAATGATTTGGTCACTGAAGAGAGAATACTCCAGACATCAAGGCCCGTGAGAAATTCGGCCTTGTTGGCGATGCTTTTCAAAATGCCTGTCTGTAGCTGTCGGCACAGCAACACGGCTGACAGGTAGGGAGAACCCGGGGCCTCCTTCGGGGAAGCAACGGTGAGGGCGCAGTCAGTGGTGAGAAGTCCCAGCATGCATCTGATCTTGTTGTTAGGCAGCAGGTGCTGGAGGGGCAAGTAGCACAAAACCTGCAGAGTAAACAAATGTAGGGTTTGGTTTGTGAGTGGTGATGTTGGGGCTGTTCATCCAAGCTGAGAGACCGACGTATGGGATAAATAGTACCAGGGTCTGGTTCCAAATCCTGAAGCTTAATACTCGTAAACACCAATATAAGTAACTCAGGAACTGTTTAGAGAGAGAAAAGGAGAGACTTTAAGCAGCATTAGTGGGGATATTTTTAAATTCTACACCATGTGGGCTACATGGAAGCAAAAACAAGTTTCACATTTATGTCCACAGGTTGTTGAATATTTTGGGTTGTATGCCATTTGAATGCATCTTCATGTTTGCTTTTCTTGATTTTTCATTTTGAACTTTGGAGGTTACCCAGGTACATGTACCGGTATGCATACATGGGTTATTCCAGAATTAATGGTCCAAAAGTGTGACATTTTTGTGTCCCTGTTACATCTGACCTCTGTTACGTGACAACGAAATATTACCGGAATTGATTTCAAACTATTGCTATTTGTTTGGCAGGTAATTTGCATTAATTCATCACTCTTGGAAATTTGAAAATGTGTTCCGAATTTATAAAATCATACATCAGATGTGACAGGGACACACATAAAATGGACCACTAATTTCTGGAATTACTCATATATATTTCAAGAGGGACTATCCACTTCCCTTAAAGTTCACATCACTGTCACAGAGACTTACATGTACCTGAGCCTGAGACCTTTTACAAGTCAAAATACACCTGCCTTCACTCCAACCAAATGACGCCTCATGTATTCCTATTATTTGCTTTATGTAGGAGCAATTTTACCTTGCACAGTCAGTGTGATAAGCAGCTTTATCAATCTGTGGTTAAGATAAGAAATTTCTCAAAGCGACGCAAGCGTGCAAGAGACATGAATGAAAAAAAGGTCATGCAGGCATTGTGAAGTAAATTGCTTTAGCGTAGAAAAGCCACAGAAGGGCAACTGGCTAAAAGATGTCCTTCACACTGGTTCCCCAGCACTGACCTATTGCTGTTTACAAGTTGGTCAAGCCCCTCAGACAACCCTGTGGAGGTTTGAAGACTGAGTTTTATTGGTCTCAGATTTCGCGTGCCCTGCTTCTATTTTATCATGTAAATGACAATATTCACAAGCTACTCTGACAAAGTTCTACCAAGACAGGAACACATGCTGCGCCATGTCCACAAAACATGCACACAGCATGGGTCATCAGATTACAACATTAGGAGCACTAGATGAAAATTTCCAAAATCCTTCAAGCTTAGTCCAAGAGAGCCCAATGGGTTAAGACCACTCGTTTCTACCTTCAACACATCTTCCAATGATCTCCAAATGCTAGGCTTGCCATGGTAAGCTGGCTTGCCCCTCTTAGCGCTAGAGAGCAACTTGTTACAGTCCAAGGTGATTTCTCTCAATTTCTTCGTTACTGTGTCTCCCTCATCACAGGTAATCGTGACATCTGCCTCGGCCAATGCAAGAAGAATTCTTGTACAAGCGGGGCCGACACTGAATACCAGAGTGGAAAAAGCAGTAGAAAATTATGTTGTCACTCGTCACAAATGCACTTTTCAAAAAGTCAAGAAAAAACTAGCAATTACGTCAACTCAGAGAATTCCATGGCAGTATCTAGTAAGTCAGAAGTAAATTCACAGGCTGTTTCACAAGTGCTAAATTAAGAAGCTGTAATGTAATGATCCATCTCTCTGAGGTCATTCCAAGGGTAACGATCAATGTAGAGCATTCAAATGCATTTAGTTAGATTGTCACTTAAAATCTGTCGGAAGTATGCTCCGACCATATTCCATCAAGGTCCAAGGATGATGCACATGAAGGAATGACAACGATTTTGTGTGCATTCCCTTGGTCAGAATAAGTTAAACATGCCAATTTTTTGGTGGGAAATATTGTGTCTTTACATAAGAACTCAGTGTTCTGATCCCTACACATATCATGCTCATTTTCCAAAACCTTTCAGAAAAATGTATCAGAGTCCGAACACTACAGACTTACCTCAGTGACCCAATGACCTTTGACAGTTGACCTAACACCGAGGTCACCAGGGCTATCTGAAGCTGCCTAGACTCCATGACGAACTCGCTTCCAACAAATTCCTCGCACATTCTGTGCAACTCCATATCTTGGTTCATGTCACTGTGAGTGTTAGACAAAAGCCTCTGCTGGTCTTGGAGACTACCAGCCAGCCTCAAATCTGTAACGCAGGTCATCAGCACTTGGCAGAGGAGACTAGCAAGGGTGGTGATTTGGTGAGTGGGGAGAAAGGGCAGGAGAAAGGGGAGATTCTCCAGCAGAACCATGAGTATTGATTTTCTTGATGAGCTTGGTTTCTAAAGAAGATATAAAAAAAATAAGGGAAAAATTACAGTCAAACCCAAAATTACAAACAAACTCTGTAAAATGAACACGTTATTCTTGTTTCTTTTCGAACTACATTCCTGAGCAGAAAAAAAAACGTCCTGAATGTTCACTTACACTTTCTGTGGCTTTGTCGCAAGCTGCTGTTGCCATGGCAATAAGAGATTGTTGTGCCACATCAGACCCTATCTCACTGTAGAGCAGCAAGGCACGTGCTTGCTGGACAGCGAGGGAAACCTGCAAAAAACAGAAAGTCAGACAAAAGTTCAGATACCACGATTCATTTATCACAATTATCTGAATGGTCACGTAAAGTGCTCTTTGCTACGTTGTATTTTCAAAATGTCGTAAATTGTAATTGTTTTTAATTTTAAACAAACGTTCTTTCTGGTGTCAAAGAATTTATTCTGACCACATTAAAAAACATTTTGTCCTGTCATTTCGTAAAAATGAAACTGGCAAAAAGTTATCTCGAGTTATACCAGTTTTATTTGACTGATCATGCAAAATACCGGGCTTGCCTTATTTGTACATTTTACTTTACCACAGAGGATAGGCACACAAAGGAAGAGAACCTTCTTCCTGTCCTCAGCAGTAAGTGCCTGGGCTTAGTTTATGGGAGAGTGGTACCTTTTAGTTACAATAGGAAAAGGTGAAGGAAAATATGATTGAGTGGTGCAAAAACTATTTGTGACTGGAGCTGACAAAATGAACACTAGGGCCATATTTTCAATACATGGAATCCTGTTTTACATTGCACAAGAAAGAGCAAAACGAGTTCTTTGTTTTGATGGGTCACCCGGTTCGGCATACCAAAGAAAATTGGCAATAAATGGGCTGTAAATGTTGAGGGTTCGTGTTGATTTACACGGTGCAAGATTTGCTGGAAGGCCTTTCACTCAAAATCGTTCTGGGAACTTGTGACTCAGTTTGTTACGCTAAGCCACAATTGATGTCTACCTGTATGGATCTCGAGTGTCAACCCAAGCCTGTCTCTCTGTAATCAACGAGGGCCTCCCTGTGCACAGGGGCCATGTTTCCATATATCCCTGTACTGATGACGCCACATTTTGCATTACGCATGTACTTTCCAATAGTGCTTATTTAGTAGACCGTGGACCGTCACTGGCTTCGTCGGAAAGTGCATGCGTAAACAAAGATCGATGTCATCAGTAGACAGGCCTAGAGATGCTGCTAAAAGAGTACGACGTGTGGGTCATCATCCAATACCTGCAGCACGGCTATCTTTTCCTTTTCAGCAAACAGCCGACACACGTGTGACCATGCCGTGGAGGTTCCGTAGGTATGCACAAATGAGAAATCCCCAAACGTCAACGCCTCGCCTACCACGGCCGAGAACGTGTGCCTGTCGTGGTAGTTGGTGTGTTGGCCCAAGAGAAGGTGCAACTCCCCCCACACGTAACACAGGAGAAGGGTGGCATGGACCTGATCAATTGAAGGCTGGAGAAGGTTACAACCAAAATTAGTGTTACTGGTATAATGCTGCATCGTTATATGACAAGTGGAACATACTATTCTCTGTGATCATCCTTGCCACTGGACTCACAAATATTCACTGCTTATAGTGTGGAGGGTTCGTCCCACGCAATACGGAGGTACAAAAAGTAAAGACGACTACGCGTATTTACATACTTGAACTGGTTCGCTCCGGACAGGTCGATTACCAGCAACTAGCAACCAACCACACTGACCAACTGACTACACTCAACTCTAAAACAAAACTGATTATCTGTGATCTAGAGCAACTATTTATACCTGTTGGGTTGTTTTTAACTAAGAACAAAGAACAAAGCATTTGACCATAACATTTAAAGGGAAAACATAAGAAAGAACAAATACAGTGTGTAGTGTGGCAAAAACAACTTTACGCGCTCCACCACAAGAGGGCGCTAGCACGACCAAGCATGTTCGTGCTGTTTACATGAGATTCTGGCATAATAATATGGTATAAAGGTATGGTATAATGCACTGCCAGTGCAGGTCTTGAAGGTGCAAACGTAGCGTGAACACACTGCCCATCACAGTGGGCGCAATCGGGGCAATATTAGAGATAACCAATAATCATTAACAAATAGTCAATAACCAACATATGTTTTGTAATTTCACAACACTAATATAGACAGCTCCAAGGAGATGGCATTCCTGAAGGGCCATCAAACTCTCGCACTCGTAGTAACTTGAGTAAGCATGAGCATTCTGGCAAGTCACGACACCCAATTGGTCGGGGAGGAATGTGACACATGCGTATCAGCTGAGCGAAAACTGGATGGCTCTGCAGTAAAGGCTTCTAATTATTTTCACCAGATTCGTCTATAAGATCCCAAACAAAATGTCTGAGGTGTGCACGTGCATTACCTGTGATTCCTTGCAGAAATGCAACAGGGGTGCAAGCAGTCCATCTTTGGTTTCACTCATCAGCTCTTCCACCCGCTTCAGTAATGGAACGGTCAGGCTTCCTTCCACCAATCGCACGCTCCGCAGGAAAAGGTTGAAAGTCGCCGTGATGGCTGTCAGGTTCACCTCCGACCTTCTGTTGCCAGGCTTGGACCTTTTGCGTGGGGGTGGAGAGGGGTGAGTCGGGGCATCCTGGGTGATTTCTGGCAGGTAGTTGGTGAGGAATTCATCCAGGAACTGTTTCCAGATGTCCAGGGTAAGCCCAGGGGGTAACAACTGGACACTCTCTGAAAAACTGCCGGAAAACAGCAGGAAAGAAACAGAATATCACAAACTGAAAACTACAGCTTTATCTGTAAACTGATATCATTGTTCTCAATCACCACTCATAAACGCTCATTACTCGTACGCCAATACCAGCGGTACAACCGTACCATTGACCGATCTCAAGCAGCCAACTAGACAAGTCCAACCACCATGAACTAGCATGCCTTGGATGCTAGACTGAAGTAAGGCTTACTAGAGTTCTTGATTAGACTTGCTGTCCCAACGAGCTTGTCTGAGAGTGCAAAGCATGGACCAGACAACCCTACAGACTGCTCCTGGGAGATGCCATAACTGTGGTGGCGCTGCACTCGCACGCTTGCTAAAGCTTGACGGAAGCAGGCTTTTGGTAAATCATGACACCCTATTAGTCAAAGAGGCATGCAATGCGCGCGTACCATGCCACCTCTCAATGAGCATGGTGCCATCACAGTAATGGCTTCCACTTCTGGTTACCAAATTATAGTGTACCTACCCAGCAGTAAACTGTGTTGGATACACAAACACTTCTGCATCAGCTGCTGCCAACGTCCTGCAGACTTCCATCATGGCAGAGATAACCCGATCAAACTGCCAAAGACGAAAAAGGAAAGGTTGCACAGCTAGAAGCGGGAATTTGTACAATGAAACTGCACATTTCACATAATAAGTGCTTCCAAAATGGGTAGAAAATTGAAGCTCAGAATCCAACCTGTCTCAGTTTTGTGTAGGTGACCAGCAACTTCTTCAGGAAAATGTCCCTCTCCTGTTGAGTGGTTGACGCAAGGATGGCCTGATCGGAACAACAGAGGGCCTCCTTCAAGACTGACGTCAGTCGGTCTTCCAGCAAGAGGTGGTTCATGTCCAGTGCTGTGCTGAGACTGACGTACCACGCTGGATGAGAACTGTGAATAAGAAATGGTTGACGTTTTGGCGTTAAATTTTATCCAACAGATATAACCAGAAGCGCAACTGGAATTTCCTAATCCCCGAGCCCTGCTAGATGGGCAGCAAGTTGCAAAGTGTGTAAAACTTTGAAGGACGTTATTCAATTAGGTTGTCAACAGCTGCAGCACATTTTGCAATGAGCGGCCAATTATATTTCTCCCCACAAAACAATCTCTTAACAGTCCAATGCTGGCTGGCAGGTTTAAAAGACTTACTCTGGGGCCATTTTGGCTTGATGTAGGTTCATCTGACATCCTTAGTAATGCTATCAATGGTAACTTGTCGTGGACCCCAACACTGGTGGTAAGTACTGTAATGACTATTGTACGGAGCAACTGCTCCATGACAGTCCTTCCACACCAAACCGAACACAGTGGCTTTCTGCCATGAAAGGGGCCATATTGAAGATGTCCACTGAAATGCCATTCTTTGTCTATGGTTTATAAGCCTACTGCAATACTGTTGCCCTCTGCATGCTTGTCACTTTGACAGCTGTTTGCTGTCGTATTTGAGAGGCTGCCAAACAAAATAACCCTTGGCATTAAGATTAAGAAGGGGCAGGAACTGTCAACGAGATACATCTTTTTCTACTTTTACATACAACCACACAAACCACACATAGTCTTTGATTATGTTAATTCTTCAAAAATAAATGATTCCTGTCCCATTGAGATGTGGCAGAAATATTGTGAAACTTGTATTAATAGTTTTGAACACAAAAAATTCAGAGAGTTTTTGTTCATATGTAAGAAATACCTATCAGCATAGTTGACGAGTCTGCCGATGAGGGAATGGAGCCAACTGAACTGGGTCTTACCAGACATGTTATCAGTGGCAACCTGGGGAAAGAAGTCGATAGCCTGGTTACTGAACAATAACAGAGCGAAAATTGCAAAATCAGCGTCTGGATTTGAGTAACATTTTCAGGTTGATCTGGTGTAGGTTCCATGTGTGGATGATGAGGCCAATTTGCTACATAGCACTGGATGGTAAATGCGTCTATTCCCAATCGGGTATCCGCTCCAGACAGGAATGACAGAGGGTGTATTTTACGAAGCCAAAAAAGTCCTTTGGTGGGAATTGGGGTTTGTCACATTACTCATGGAACATGATGAGCATGCGAAATCAATTTCTGTTTGAGTGTATGGTCGTTGCGTGTGCACCGTGTGCACGCAGCAGATTGATTGGAACACTTCCCACCAAGCTGTCTCTCCTTTACAGGTGAGGGAGCACTTTAACTCTGGGCAGATTCTCAAAGACAATCCCTAATTGTAATGTAACAATGCGTAACACAGCGGATTGTGCGGCACCGTGTATTATGCTGGTCAGTAGACATGACCCTTCACACTACACAATTATGTAGTCCATCTTGCTGCCTGCTGTTGGTACTAACCACTACTTACACGTAACTCCAGCATTGAACAGCAACTTTGGATAACTTTTTCTTTCTGCTGCATTTTAGCAGAAATGGGTTTATGGTATTGATTGGGGCCTGCACAATATTACATGTGCACACACAAGAAGCATACCTATACAAATGTGTCCCCCGGTGACAAAAACAGCATGATTAATAAAATCAAACACTGCAGAGTAAATATTGAACTAAAAGGGAGTTTTTATGAGTTGATACTTATAGCATGTGAAGGGTGTTAAGTATCCAAGCGAGAATTGTCGCAGTGACGAAAAGCGAAACATAGGCACAAATTTAACCTCGTAAATACGTTTTTCCAGGAGAACTTTGAGGAGTTTGCCGAGGGCTGGCTGGCCCGCAGTCCACTTGTCCGACAGACTCTTTTCCAGCTCTGAGAACATCTTTCCTGACACTCTGTCTGCGACACCACCTGAGGTTGTTTGTTGACTGTCAACTCCAGTCATGGCCTTCCCATCATGCTCCTCAGCTGGCATAATACCCATGATGCAACAGAGTTTGCAGAACATGGCAAATGTGACATCACTTGGGTATCTTTGTGAAAAACAAAACAGTTCAAGATCAAGGAAAGCACAAACACTGTTAATCTATCATGGACACTTTAACAATTGTTGAGGTAATCCCTGGCCTCTTTCATTCTAACCATTTCACCATGATAAAATGGAACATTCTTGCGATAATGGAGAATAGTTACAATATATAACGAGTGTCAACAGTCAGTGTTTGCACATGCATATGTCTATTTTAATAATAAACACGTTAACTTACTTCTGACTAAGAAATGCTCTGAACACAACAGGCATACCGGTCACATAGCTCAGGGAAACATTTGCCTGAAATAAAGAGGTTAAGAACGAGAGAATCTTTAAAAAAAATATCTCATTCCAAATGTGAACATGATAAACAAGTTGCAAAAATCTTCCTCTTACCACAAAATGTTGGGACTGTTTGTTTCAAAGGAACCTGGATCTCGACCAGTGGTCCCAATGCCGGTTGCACCATCCATTAGGCAGGTTCGGGTGTCAGAGAACCAATGCAGGATCACTTATCGAGATCCCGATCCATATGAAACAAACAGGACCACTAGAAAGTAAACTTTGATTACCTCTTCCTTGGTGCTAATTTTTGCAGCCATGTTTTTCCAGAGGGAGGAGATACACTCAAGTAACAGCCGCACTTCCATCCGCTTCTCAGTGACCACCTGACCTGGGACTGACCTCAGATACTTAGTGTGACCTTCCACAAAGTCTCTGTAATGCACAATACACAACAAAAGAATGGCTCCTTCTAAGGAAAAAGAAAGTGGAATAGAGGAAGGCATATGTCTGACATCTGGATTGTCTTCAGTTGGACCAGTGCGCCCTCCTAATCATGGGTATGGGCACTGGCTAATACCAAAGTTACAAATAATGTAAATGAAATGCTAAGTATCGTGGGTAGTCTCATGTAATGATCAATCTGTCCTAATTGGGTGTACACATACCATACCTATATGAATATGCTTCTCCTGACTAGTCAATCGAAAATCTATCCAATGACAGTGTATAAAAGATAGCAACGGCAGTCTCTAGTGATGGGGGGGTTGTGTGTTATGAATGAAGAATTTGTGATGTGGGACTAAGCTACCCAGCTTTGAGTGAAGTGTTTCCCGATGTCTTTCTTAACAGTGTTCTGGTGGACAGGGCCCCAATAGAGGCTTTACGTGGTAGCCATCTTGCAGGGCAGTTCTTTCATTCAACAGCAAAACCTCCGGTGTGCATACCCAGTGGAACAAAAGCACTGGCCAGCAGGATGGCAGCCATGCAAACCCTCTGTTGGAAAGCTTGGCCATACCAAATGTGCCAAGGGGAAGCAAGCTTCGGTCTTGACCAGTAGCAAATAACGATAGGCACAAGCCGTCGACAGATGGAGCCACACAGCTCTGCAGGTTGATTTCAGATGCAGCCTCACGTGTCAATTCACGAGTAGTCAAATCACAAACTATGATTACTTGTGGTTCAACATGGTTCTGATTACGTGATGTAGATTGACAATGGTTGGACGGGTCTAACCAACTATTTGGTAAATCAAAGATTGAATTGAGGTTGGCTGCATTGTTGGCTGTCAACCAAAGATCATATAGCGCCGCAGAGTGGCACAAAATCGAGAACTTCAACGTGAATACCCATAAAGCGTTGTAATCACCTAAGCACCATTTGAGCAAGCAATACGCCTACTCCTGGACGCTAATGCACAGACACACGCGCTGTGCCAGGCGCGCACACCTGGAAAGCATGTGCGTGTCTGCACCTGTGCAGTAACATCCACTGCGCTGCTCAAATGGCTACCATGGTGATTACACCTATTTGGCAGAGTTCCCCTTCTCGGCGCTGTTAGACCTTTGCCATCAACATCTCACTTATTACAATATACAGCAGTAAGCCAGCAGCCAGTTTTAAGAACTAGAAACAATCTTACACCATGCGTACATGAGTAAGCAAAACACAAATCGGTGTCAAAGCTTCATAATGTAGCAACCCCAGATTTCAAGAAAAGTTGTGAAAACTTTCCTTTGATATTTCATTTTTATGTATAAATTACCATATAAATTGGCAATGACTGACCATCAATGGTGCCCTACATATTTCTCATAAACAACCAACAACAGATATTACCTTTTTGTAGACTATTAGTCAAAGAGAAGAGACTGTAACCTACTAACCTGTTGAAAAGCCCGCTTGCTACAAGATCTTGAATACATTTTAATGTGTCATTAAACGACTCATTTATTGGTTCGTCGACACTTGAGATGGTGTGATTCAGCATCAATAATGGTCCCAGTAGTCTCTCGTAGACGATGGTGAAAACCTATTCATTTTTACACAAGAACAAAAGTAATATAGCAAAAAGTTTGGTTGGCAACGGAAAAAAGCAGGCACTTTTCCTTAATTGAAATAAATTCTGAAGTCATAACAGCATGTGATATTGAACGAGTGGCGGGCACCTTTCTAGGGATGGGCTGCTGTCGCTGTAGTACAGCAAAACTTGCAAAGGCCCTCTGGACCAGCGAATTCAACAAGGCAGGAATGCTGCCATGCCCTGTCCTCAAGAACTCGGTCAGCAGGGAGACCACTGCAGACAGAAACTGCACCTGTTGGTGTGAAACAAAGAAAGATTAACAAAGAAGCCACACATGTGTTAATTGTTTGATTTATATGAAAAATAAAGGATTCTTTCTAAGAGTGATCCCTGTTTGCCAATGACTTTGGGTGTGATCACTGGCTGCACATACATGTACACGGGAATTACTGAGTCTGACTATAGACCTTTATCATGATACTCCATGTTTGTCTTGTTCCCTGTAGACAGATTGGCAAAAGCAATACAACTTCACATAGTGATAAAAGGGAACAGATTATTTTCCCTTCCAGCCGAGATCAGTTTGGTTATATTGGTTTGAATGGTAGAAAAGCAAGATGGCTGCCCCCATAATAGAGGTCTCTAGAGCTCTATAAGTATATTAAATTACAAAGTGCAAACTCACTCTACAAAGTGAAGCCTGCTGGGCCCATGTGCATTTATGCACAAGCCTTTAGATTCAAAGTAGGCCTACATGTATGTCCACAGGGAGGAAGAGGAACAGTCCAATAATTTAATGTAATGACTCGGTTTCTTTGTTCACGTTCATAATGGAGGCAGGCCTTTTGAAAAATCCTAAAAATGTGAGCGGTTCAAATGAGAGGTGGGGTCATGGTACCTCAATTTTACCATTAGGTGTTACTGGAAAAATGGGATTTCTTGATGGCCAAGGGGCTCAATGGACAAATGAAGTGAGTCTTCAGTTGCCATGGTAGGGCTAAGCCATTTGAATAATTCATTATTCGAATATTCGACCTTCATTCGTTCGAATGTTCGGTCTTACAAACCAGCCGACTGTTGATGATTAAACATATACAAAAATCACTTGCAATAATGCACACAATTGTACATTATGATCAATATATTAGCTTCTCACGTCTAGGAGTATCTCTAGCCACGATTTAGCAAGATTTAAAAGATGAACAATATTTCTCACCCTGTTAAAAATTTCTATTCCTTTTAAATTTTTTAATGAAAAATTTACTTTTTGAATCCTAAGATTTCAGTCTCTTTTCATTTGAATCAGCGTGAAATAAGCCTTCACAGTGCAATTGTTTTCATTTAAAACAAAAAAAATTCTCCCTTCCCTTTCATGAATTTTGCATTTGAATGTTCAAATTTGGAAAATAATATTTTAATATTCGGATATTCCGCACAGTAATAGAGTGGTGTAGGTTCTGCACACTGGCCAGGTGGCTGAAACACCCATTGCAGAAGCACAGGGATCAGTGACTTTGGTAGTGAACCATTATCTTTGCAGCTGACAAAAAGATGACACATTCACTTCAGTGCTCCATGGCATATTCGTTGTATTGAAACTTTACCTAGCAAAATCTTTTAAAATCTCCAGGTAGATTTTAGCAGTTTTGTAAATCAAGACCATCACATGACTGGGTAAGAGATCAGTCATCACAAGACAAACCAAAAATAATAGGGGAATAATGACAAATCAATGGTTTTGCTGCAGCTCATTTGAATGACGTTTGATTTGACTTGAGGTATTGCACTGGTCAAGTACAGTCTTGAGATGTCTTAACAGGCCTTGACTCTACCACTGGGATTTATGCAGATACAAGAGTGTTAGGAACAGCCCACGATCGACGTACCTGGTGGTCTAAGGTGCCAGTGATGATGCGCCCCAAGGATGGGTGTGCCACAAGGGAGTGGCAACATCCGATGACGAGTTCAACATTGACGTCCTTCAGTCGTAGGCACCTCAGGATCACCTGGAACAGAATTGAACATAAAGCTGTACCATTCAGAGAGTCACTCATCCAAGAAACACCAAATCGTTTCACGTCCCTGAAAACATTCTCTTGACATGGGCATCACTAGGATTTTTCAAGGGGGGAGGGGAAAGCACACTTTGAGGAGGGGAAATTTCCAGGGTTGGGGGCAAACAACTCCTCAGCGATACCAGGACTAGTGGAAGAGGGTCAAGTTGGATTTTTTTTGCCCAGTAAACAAGAAAATCGTTGAGTTTTATCCCCTTTCATCTCTTTATTCGGTTTCTAAAATTTCCTTTTCATTTTTCCCCCTTCTTTCTTTATATGTTTACTTCTTGTTTTCAGGAGGTAAGGAGCTGTTACCCTTCCTGCTCCCCTTGTGACACCCATGTACCTAAAACTAATCTGAATCTTCTAAAATCCCCCAAAGAACTTGTGACCCAATGCCACATTCTTTGTACTTGAACTTTCAAGGGATAACAAACTCCATTCACAGGTACAGTTTTTCTGAATTTTTATCATGTTATCTGGAAATATGCACTCTTGGATTCTTCCAAGGGTTTCATTTTCCACACTAGTGCCACGTCTGCGGCCCCAGCTGAAACTAGGACTTAGGACCAAGGCTAGGGAGCCCCTTGAAGCCAGGTGTCTTCATAAAGGCAGTCAGGGATCATCTAGTATTGTTTCACCTTAGCCTACAAATGAAGTCACTTCAAGAGATTATATGTAACCCAGATAATTTATTTAATTTATTTAACAAATTTACAGGAGGATTCGGGTATGCAATACGGGCATTTCACAAAGGTGCGCCACCTGGAGTTTGCAATACGGTTACCACTGTACACAATGCGCATTTGAATGGGTTGACACGTTGGGATATGTCGACCAGCAATGCGGATTTGGAAAGGGTCAACACATTTCGCACATTGCGATTGGCCAATGCACCGGAAACTCTTGGTGGCACACTATTGTGAAACGCCCATATTACATGCACCTCTGGGAAAAATTAATTGCAATTCTGGGAACATGTTTAAACCTGCATGGAACTTGGGTGCCATTGCATGCATCAACTCAGAGGGACTGCATTTACAGTGATGGTACCTTGTGTCTACTTGGCCCAAACTTCCCTGATCCTTGGAACGTTTTGGATTTGGAAGGCTCTGTGATAGGGCTGGATAACAGAATTCATGCAACTGTCAGCGGCATGACTTTAGTGCTGAAACCATGTCAAATATCATTTCTCGCTCCACTTACTGGGAACAGACTTGGCCTAAGAGACAAGGCTTCCGCACGGCTGCCCATGGTCTTCAGTTGTTTGCTCCGTAGCGCATCTCCAAGAAACTGCCACAGTCTGGGGACTGTAAGGTCAGGAACACTGAGCCTTGAGGAAAAATAACACCAAAAGTGACAAGTATTCACCAAAAGCAAAACTTGAAAATTGTACTTATATTTACAACTGTTCTTGTATTAAACAAATTCAACACACCTTCAAAATATATATGTTTATCAAATATTTAAGCCTCCTACATACTCCTCAACTTCAGACTCCTACACATGTACATCTACTTGTATGGGTGACCTTGGAATCTGGTTTCCGATATTTCCCACTAATGAAGTAAGCTGTGCATAGTGCCTCCATTACTGCAGTACCGAGTGTTGAGCCCCAACTACATGCATAATCAGTACAAGTATTTGGGATTGTGCCAACTAAACAGTGCTGTAGTTAGGCTGCCCAAAGGAAAAAAAACATTTCTCAACCTTTTCAAGTGTTTAGGGGCTCACCCTTGGTAGAATTCATAAAACTACATATTGATTAGATATCTCATCCTTGTAACAAAAGGTGCACTAAGGTAGCACGTGTTGCCAACGTGCATAACATGCATGGCAATGGCAATTGCTATAGCTGGGTACGCTATACCAAACGTGGGCTCGCAAACTGCAGCATAAAAGTTGGGGTCATCCCAACTATACTTGGTACCGATGCTTCAACATCACCATTTATAAACCATGCTGGAATGGCTTGGCTGTGGCAATTACACATGACTCAATGGGAAGTGGCTGCAGCTACTTTCATGTGTCGGTGCATGAGTTCAAGTCGTGGCCAAATAATTCGGACAAGCCCGTACTTGCTTGCATTGGATAGTGAGTTGGCAGCCCAATCCATCAGCACCTGCTCTTTGTTGGGCAGGATGCACCTGGGCGACACCCAAGCAAACCTGGCCAGGTCAACTTTAGTCTCCCAGGGTGTGTCAGCATCTTTCAACTTATGATGAACCCCTGAAAGAAAAAGAAAAACATTTACTCTGTCCAGTCGCTCCAACCATGTCAAGTACAGTCGTACCGTTAACGTCAACACACCATCAACACCTTTGAAAATGACAGTACCACACATTATTAAAGTACGGGTCAAAACAAGACTTAAGGCTTAAAATGTAAAGTTGAACCTTTGAAAATTAAAGTTCACATTTCAACAGGAGCTCGAGGAAACGAGGAAGGGGCCACGGCTTGTAGCAAAAAAGTGCTACACCGTAAACTTGTGCACAAACTCAGTGCTACACAGTGCTGCACTGTTCTACGCGAATGTGTGATGCTTTGAAGTCTACCAGTGAACTTGTGCTCGTTAATGCGCATGGTCAGTTCTGCAGCAGTGTAGCAGTGCTGCAAACAAGGTAGACCGAGTGGGTTCTGTCATCTCATTTCTGGCTGCACCTGGTGCATCCTGCAAGTATCAGTCCAGTCACACATCTAGGATCGCCATACGATAAAAAAAAGATTCCCCCCCCACCTCCGAAAACGATCAAATTGACGTGTGGGGCTACATGTACATGCGGCTTGGCCATCAGCCCACAGCATGTGTACTATGTACCATGTGACACATAGAGTGTGTACAGTAAGGTGCAATCGCCATCAGGTAGAGGACTTCTGGTATAAAAGCTCAGATTTAAAAAAATAGTTGTTCTTAAGTTATAAAATACCACATTACATGGTTTTCAAGAGCTACAAGAGCTCAACATGCTCAAGATTGATCTCACTAGAAAACTGGATTGAAAAAGTGGATTTGTGTCGTCAGTAATTTACTTCAGAGAATGGATTCAAAAAGCAGATACTCAGTATGACTCTGTCTAAAGAAAACAGCCAACAAAGCACATGGAGGTGCCGTTTTCACTCCCAACATTCAGTACCCAACATGCTCTAACCCTAATGCTCTGTAAATTTTTTACAGTGTTTTCTCAGTGAGTGCCTCAATATTTTCACAGAAAAAGTTGACTTATGTTGTAATATTATTATTAGCAGCGTGGGATTCAGGGCCTCCGTTAGGAACCAAAAATATTCTGGTTTTTATGAAAATTACAGACATTCAATTGTGTGATTCAAGTAATTTAAATTCAAGCCCCTTTTCCCTTCCCACGGTGTCTTTCTAGTTTCTACAGTACCACTGTGCACATGGTGCATGGAGGTAGGAAACCTACCTCCATGCATGCCGAATGCAGTACCACTCAGCAATAGGCATGACAGACGTACATGTACACCTGTACACACTGGTACATTATGCATGTATCAATCATGTGCACTACGGCCGTACAGAGCTATGCCGGCCACTGCCACTAGACTCCAACGTTAGATCTTCATTTTTTAGGCCAACATTGCCATCGAAAATCTTTAAATTGTACCCAAGCTGCGTACAAATCAGGATAACGAATTCCAACACCATCATGACCATGATCAACCACAGAGGAACACACGACACAAACTCCACGTGTGACAGTCATACCTGCGTAGGGGATCGCCATGTTGGGGCCGGGACAAAGCTAATAAGATGATTTATCTCATGAATACTCAACAGGTACATGCGTAGTTATTGAGTATTCATGAAGCAGTATTAAGGCATTTATGAAACGGGTGGATCAGGCTGAGGCTGTGTCCGAAACGGGCTTCCTGAGCTACGGCTAGGTCTATTGTCTCCGCGTCTCCACACATTTCCAAAGGAGCGAAGACCTAGACCTAGCTCTAGACAACAGATTCAGATGCAGCCTAAGCCTAATCCACTCGTTTCTTAAACGCCCCATGACGCCACTTCAGTTTAAACAACGCCCACGAAGCATTATGTTTCGGCTACGCCCCCTGATGATAACTGCAGAGAACGTACATGTACATGTACATGTACATGTACATATACATGTACATGTACAATGTACATGTACATATGTACACGTGCATAATTTTATACGCAACGTTCATCATCCAAGCTGCACTGATACGTGAGTGGACCCTGTTCTTGCTCTGTGATGATGTGATCATGGAGGAACTGTGTTTACATTCCTCCATGATGTGATCAGCTGTCAGTGGCGCATTATGACAAGTGCATTAAGGACAAGTGATTTTGGATATTAAGATCGTCTGTCTTTGTTTTGTCCCACAACATACATGTACTGCCATTAAAAAATGAACAAGAAAACTTAAATCAAGAATCTAAATTTAACAAAAACGACAATTTCACGATGCAATCTTCACCGCGGCCACCAACGTTGCAGCCCATGTGATCCCCATCTGCGACCCATGCTGCAACCCAACCTGTCCCACGCAGTACTCCAACTGGATCTTATATTACCGTCATTGTTAGCAGAGTAGGCTACGTTTAATCATTTTTCCGTATTAAATTGCTCTCACATTGAAAATACATGTACCTCCGTTTGATATGTTTATTTGTGACGTTGCTGTATTTCGCATACATTTAAATAACAATAGCAAAGGTCAGATGACTTCGATTATTGGCATGCATTGTTGAGCCCAAGCACCCTGCGCAAGTTTAAACTGCGCAAGTTTAGACTTGCGCACCGATTTTCAAAGTGCGCTCATGCACATTAACAGAAGCTTGAAAGTTGACTCCATGATGGCGCGCTTCCAGAACCCTTGAATAGGAAAAATAACGTGCAATAAGTTCGAATTTGTAATATTTTACCATTATAGTTACTTCTGAAAAAAATCAACTCGGAAAAAAAGGCCGTTGGAAAATATTTGCTGGCATATCAATTTATACAAACTGAAAAATTACTTGGCCTAAAAGAGAAATATCATGCCAAAAACTGCCATCAATATTCATTAATTACTCCATGATTAAAATATATGAAGAACAATGCAATTCGGCGGTCTCGTACGCAAAACGTTTATGGAATGAAACTGGTAGTCTGTCTATAAAAGTCAAATAAAAACAGTTCAAAAAAAGCTTGCATATATTTATTTATAAGGTAATAAACTTAGGGTAATAATCTACATTTATACGAAAGATTCTAATATTTTATCTAATCTATACTGGAAAGAACTGCGTCATGTCAACTCATCAGCGGAATCTGGAACCCATCTACTGCAGGCAGCCAGGTAAATCTTTGCAACGTCGCGTTGTACGATCTCGCTTTCCTGTAAGCATGGGGAGTGAAAACAAATGTGCCTGAACAAAGAGACCTATAACTAGGAATGAACTGCCAGGTGCGAAAGGTCGTTAGCCTAATGAAATTTTTTTACCCATTTCCAACTGATATTACTTGAGGAAGACAAGGGTAATACTCCAACATGAGTGTTTCATGTATGTCTGTTCAGTTCTTCCAAACTTATCGAATGTGATAGGACGGCCCCATGTAAAATCCCCATAGGCGGACCGCGCAAGGGTTTTTGAATCTCGCTCTGCGCGACCTTTTACTTTCAGGTTCCATTAGAAAGTTTGCGCACTATAATTTCAATTTTGCCAATGAATATATGCGATCGCACTTTGCACAAGTTTTGCAGGTATGCGCCAAGTTTCCACATTTGTGAGAGTGCTGTAGCATTCAAGTTTTACTGCCTTGAGTTCTCAACCAAGATTTTGAGAAGTGTTTGGGAGGTAAACCTTCTACCCAACTGAAGTGGTACAGTGGTTATTCCGTCCAAACATGTGGGGTGTGGTTGCGGCACGCGCTAGATGCGTTCAAGGGCAGTTGGAATCAATTTTTAATTAATACAGACCTTCAATGCACCTTTGTGTCTCAGATAACCTTATTGTTTGCTTTTGTTTCACAGTCCCAAAGAGTAGTTTGCTGCCGTTTTGGTTTTTGTGCTAATGAATCACAGCAGCAGCCCATTCACTTGTCCAGGAGAGCATAATTTCAAGTGTTTGAAAAAGTGTACTTTCAGTGCATTTAACCAAATGGGAATGCAAAAGAGTTTTCATCCATTGAAGACGAGTACAAAATTTCAGAAAAAAATGTGTCTAAAAATTCATCGTGGCTGCGCTAATTAATTGAATTTATGCAACCCACCTGACCCCCAAACACGATTTTCTTCAGTTTTCTTTGATTTATATGGTCAGCATTTCTCTGTGACTGCATTATACCGACAAATATTTCTTCGTTTTGTAAATTTTTGTCCACCATGTCCTTCAATGTTTTCAATAATTATCTCAAACACCGCCCAACACATAGAGTATCCCGGGTGTCACTGACTTTGCGGTCAAAGGTTTCTGAAAAAACCGTGCGCAATTGCCCGATTTTTTTCGGGGTCAAAATAAAGGCTTTTGAGATGAAAACTGCTTGCATGTGTGCGTATACGCACTCAAGTCTCCTTCCAAGTATTATTGTCATCCTTCAGGGTAATTAATTATATCGGCTTTACCGTCTCAGATTGATTGCATTTCAAATTTAAAGGAATATTTAGAATGAATAAAATAATTCAGGCCTAATAGAATGGCCATAATTCTTGGGAACATGGACCTCAGGAAGCAGACATTTTAACCCAATAAAAAAGTCAAGGCCGGAATCCGCCCCCTCGACATTTTTTTCTTGATATCGTAGCATTGCCCTTTCAGGAGTTAACCCCTTTAGGACTTTTTTTGGAACCCTTTGCCGTAATTTTGACACAAATTTTGCAAAATCAGACATTCTGTTCTTGCGCAGCGCCCACTTGCTGAAACCTGCAGGTTAGCCAAAAATGTATTCTTTTCTGTGCGGTGCTTAATGCGGCCTGGCACTCATGTAGCCTTGAACTTGTAACATTAACAACAAAATCACAACATTGATTTACTTCAAACTTCACCTTTGTACTGATAAGGAGTGTTGCATGCTAAGTCTCAAAACATTGAGAGCGGTAAAGCCAAGTTCTGGAGCGGAATATCCCCCGGGTGTCTGAGATGGGCCGCGCTTTTAAGGTTAGGGGTTGTTTCATATCGATTAAAGAATGGTCCACCAAAAAATGAAAATATTATTGCGAAACCTCCATATTCTTATGCTTCATAAGATGAATGTCAAAGTTTGTTACGTGCAGTTAGGAACGGGGTTAAAAAAAGAGAAAGAAATTGAAGTCGTTCCTTACCGGATTGAAATGTGTTAATGAGTAAATTAAGGTATTTCATTCTCTAAGTAAAGCCATCTTTAAGCAAATGACCGGAAAACAGAGTCAAACTTGAATTTTCCTGACTAAGAGAGGCTATTTTGTTTCCTTTAAAACAACCCATTCCCATTCTTTCTCTCTTCATTTGTTCACAAACTAAGTTCTGCGACAATCATGGAAGATAATGCGATAGTCGAGACCCCCCCCGCCGCTTACTGAGCGTACCTGAACCGCAAACAAAATCTTTTCAAGGTAGAAAGTGAGAATTTAACAACTCAAAGGACTAAGGTTAGTGTCAAGAACAGACCGCCAGAACTTGACCTACAGCTGTGCCATAGTCGGGACCAATTAATCGTAAAAAATATTTACATAAATAATGATAGTGACTTGTGGCTTGTAACTCGGGGTATTCCATTCACAAAAAACTTCCAACCTAGCAATATAGAGGCGGCAAGTGCGCAGTTCTACATAGTAGTATAGGGGCGCTTTTTAACTCCCAAAGTGAAAGAGCAGAGCGAGAATGAGGAGATGACGTCGAAACGTACAAAGTGTCTAGCCCCCACCCCAAAAGAAATTGGTCTGAAAACTGCGCCTGACCTTTCCCCTACGTCTCAGAAGACTACGTTCGGGAAGGGAGCCAGTCTAACTGCTCCCAAGCTAGCTATAGCACTCAGAGGCGGGCAGCTATATTCACTCTGAGCGCATACTTTCACTGCTGTTTGCCAGAGTTTTAGACTCGAGTCACTTGACTTTGACTCGAGTCGAACTCAAGTCACTATTTTTGTGACTCGTGACTCTCTTGTAACTGTCAGTTTTTGACTTGTGACCCGACTTGGACTTGCACATTAGTGACTTGTTTAATACAAACACAGGTCTGAAAACAACCCAATTGAGCCCGGCAATTGGGCCAAAGTTTTAAATTAGGTCAGTCAACTTTCGCCCTGCAGTGCGTAAAATGATCAGCGCAGGATTTCATTTGGCTCGGCGACTTTTACTTTGGTCTTGTTTGCCCAGGGCCACGTCGGACTCAAGTTGGCTGAAGTCACAAATGACTCCACTGTGGCCGTTGCTGGCTACTTACTACGCCGACTCGTGCGTAAATTTCAGGCCACAAACCGTACGAAACTTCGGACGCAGCCCTTCGTCAGAGCCATCTTCCTAGCTCATCAACAGAGCTGACAGTCCTGTAGATCATGTAAAATGATGGCCAGCATCAGGTATCACAGTTGACTGTACATTGTACATGGCTGCATGTGTAGTATACATGTACATGTATCTATGTAGTACGTGGAAAATGTTATGAAGTGTAAATAGTACATGTACATGTAAGCAAGTTAAGTTTATCATAAAACTACGCCAAGTCTGAAGTTGTAGTCGTACATGTAGTTCAACAGCAGAAGCGAAAGTGAAAAGGTGACGTCACGTGCTGACGGTCTGGCCCTCCCACAAAAATAGCTCTTGAACCAAGGCTGTAAAGTTGATGCCCCACCCCGTTTATTTATTACAGCTAGGTAAAATAATGCGCGACTTGACTAGTAGTTGGACTAAAAGACTTGTGACTTGACTTGTTACTGGACCAAATGACTTGTGGCTCGACTTTGACTTGTCACTTCACTTGGACTTTCAAAAATTAATTGCCACCACCTGTTTGGAGCCATTTTGGGGGAAGGGTGAATAACAAAATTTGTGTGGTTAACCCTCATAAAAACTGAAAAGCAAACTAAACTTCTAGCCCTAACCTTGAATTTTCAATGGAACGCGAGGCCAACCTCCATAGTTTAACTGTTTTTCTGATGTTTGTGAACTAGCGCACGCAAAGTAGGAACTTGCGCAGAACCAAGTTTGCGCGAAGAACACTAGTCTAGTGCCGGCCGCCAGCGTTTAAGTTTGTACGTAGCACAGTCGAGTCGAGTGGTGACTTTTTTGTACGCCGTGTTTCTGTATAGAATGAGGAAATTTCATTCATTTTGATCAGCTTTTGATGTCGCATCTTCCCCGAGAAACATGTTATCTTGGAAATTAGTACTCCTAGCTTTATATGCCGTTGGATTTTCAGGTAAATTTTACCGATTGAAAGTAACAAGATCGAGATGTGTGAAACTATCACTTGGTTGTCGGTTATGGGGAAGTGGTTGTGTCGTTCTTGTCAACTCGCGTCCACAAAGGCTATGCAGTATGGGCCTACCGTACATGTACATTGGCCCCCTGTCAAAATATGGCGGGCGTACCGCGCCGGGGCGGTTGGCTTAGTTGAGTTTGCGTCATTGGTCAAACGTACGATCCACGTCAAATAGGTTCATGTAAAAAGTGGGTCCTGGTTCTAGACACTCGTCAGATAAAGTCTCGGTTTACTTGAAAAAGTCACTTGAAATTGAATTGATCATCTGATCGTGTTGATTGCTTAAAAATTAATGTACCACTACCAATGCTTGAGCCTTGAATAGGCCATATACAATGTACATGTAGTAGGGCCTAGTACCAGTCATGCCGATAATCCAAAATCGCCCCTACTATTACTACTGAGTACTACTACTCGGTACTAGCCTAGCAAAACATGCCGGATAAATTACATCCATGTGATGCACACCGTGCCATCTCTGGCCAGTCTGGGAAAAGAGAAAATGAAACTAGGCTAAAGTTGGACATTGACACTTGACAGACAGATTACAAGATCGCAGTCATGACACTTCCATTTTCCACAGAGGAAGTTTATTTACTTCCAGAACTATAAGCAAATGGAAGCAAATGGGGTTAATCACAGTAGGCCTATGGCTTTCATCTGTGGGTGACAGGAAAACAAAAGGAAAAGATTGGAGCCGTGTTGGGATTGGTCAAGCTGTCACATAGCCAGCCGACAGTTATTGAGGGTACATGCTGCCATGGCTGCAGATTTTCTGTAGTGTGGATGGGCAAAGTACTCAAGAATTTCACCAATTTAATGAGGATATAAAAAGGTGAATAAACCTCCCCATCTGATCTAAGGTTTCACTACACCAAATACACGGCCATAAAAACAGTGCAAAATCGGACTGAAATATGTATCGCCGCCTGGTGACTCTCGTGAAGAGGTTGGCCTCCGTTTTTCACTGCAAATTGAAGATTCGTGGTCAGAAGATCACTTTCCGTTCCAATTTCATAGGGGTTAGCAGCAAAAATATTTTTTTCCGTCTTTGAATGAAGATAAATGTACCCCCAAAAAAGCAGTAAAACTAAGTGCTCATTTCTGAATGTAACCGCCCGCCTCTATCCAAAATAGGTCTGCAATTTGGAGCTTTTAGTGAGAGAATACCCTGAACTGGAAACTATCAGTCCTAAATTCGGGATTTATAGAAATGTTTCTATGATGCGTCCTGATTATGGCATGTCTTATTGTAAAAATCCCGTGGGATCACAAAATATTAATAAGATCGCACACAGAAATACAACTGCACCCCGAACTTCACCAAGAAGGCATACTTGTATGAAATTTGGTTGCACAAATAGCTGTGATGGAAGGGTAAGTTGGCACAATCAAAACAGCCAAAATGTGTTTACGGGAGTTTGTACATGGCTATCTTCAAGGTTTGTATAAACCATACACTAACAGTTCTGCAAGTACATGTAGAGGAAGTTAATGTTAGATTTGCCCACATTGGGGCTTGGGAAACTGAACTGTTTATCTCATTAATTAATGTAGTGAAATTCACAAGTATTTTGCCCATCCATACCATGGCAAATCAGTAGCATGTACATGTACTCTCTTGATCATTGTCAGCAGCATGATAGATTGACCAATCCCAACACGGCTCATATCTTTTCCCAGTTGTTTTCTTGTCACCCGCAAATGAAAGCCTCGCTCTGATTGGTCCAGTGTACTTCTATTCCAGTGACCAATCATAGGTCAAATTTTCCCCTGAAAAAGTTCAAGTAGAACTTAAGTTTAGCTGTATGTAGCCGAGATCTGTCACCCGTCCCATCATTCTTTGAAACATTAGGGTGCATGTTCAGGTTGATGCGTGTACAGGTGCATGTAGTTTGTCAATACTGGTTGTGTTTCTTGATGATTATCAGTCATGCTGTTTAGCGTCATCACACGTAAGAAGGATCAAGAAAGCGTCAACGACTTTAACATACGGTGTACCTTTGAAAGATTTAAAAGTGGTTGTATCATATTTTAGAGATGCTACAAGTACAATCTACATGTACCAATGTGTAAGAGTAATGGCAAATTAGCTTCCAGATTCTCAACAGAAAAGGAAAGTTCTTTGCAGTGTGTGGGAGCAGCCATCTTTCTTTTCTCTGCCATCCTCAGGAAAATAAGATGGCAGTCGGTCGGGCTGCACGAGCAGACCCAACTTTGTCGCTCGAATTTCCAGGCTTAAATATCATTTGAGACAAATATTATACATTGAATATAATATATAGGAGCCCAGTTAATATCATAAATATAAAATTTTGGCATAAATATGCTTTAGTACCTTCTCGACACTTTGTTGACGCTTGTTGACGCTAAATAGCATGACCCATGATTATTGATGCTGAATCAGCATGACAGCCTAGCGCCTATGGTAACTGCATACATGTACAACGTACATACATGTACATGTCGATGTGTAGGCCCTACCTGCCTACCCACACAGGCCTGCATGTACATTGTCCAATATTCTTACATTTGCCAGTAGGAGGCTTTAGGAAACAAAGTGGATGCAAATTCTCACCTGAAAACAAAACTTTTTAACAGGTGACGGAGGCCGTTATCTTCCTTTTCATACGTCGGTTGCGTGCAAAATTTCACCCTCAGCAGTCAGTTGAAATACAATGTAAATGTGATTAATTAGTTGTAGGATATGTACATGTACATGTACGGTAGGAGCCCACTTCATTTTTCTGACAATTTTGTCTGCATAAAAATGGTAGTATTTGTTGACACTTTCCTTGATGCTTAATTCTGCATGTACACACTGTACGTACTGGGGACATGTAAATACCGGTAAATGTACATGTATGGGTGTAAAAATGCGAGGCCTTAGGGGCCATCCATACTTTTCATCATTTTCACGAGCGTACATTACAAACCGTATAGGGGACGGGGGTTAAAACCCCGTGTATGCTTTTTCTGAATATGAAAAACGATGATCTGTCAACGTGCGAATCGGGAGTCACTTTCAAATTTTGTGGGTGTTGCTAGCTACTGGTAGCTCCGGGCCGCTTTCTTTATCCCACATATGCAAGTTATTCACTGCTTTTCAAGCCTTGACTTTTCAGGTGTTTTAAACAACGTTTTATTTGAAATTTATATTTCTGTGAACCACAAAACATTTACATGTACATGTACTTAGCCTACCGTACATGTACATCATTGTATCCCGGCAATAGGGGATTTCGCCAATGGAGCTCCCCATCCATCATCTTGTTTTGCCCGCTGATGTACACTTTGGGGGTAGGGTAGTGAAAATTCTACTTTTTGTAAAATCGTGAAAATGATGAAAATTATGGATGGTAATTTGAGGGTAGTAAAAGTGTAGAATCGACCAATACTACCAAAAAGCAACAGCATAATAAAAGTGGTTGTGTGAATTTCAGGGAAAAGGCTGATAATCAGTAAAGTACCGCATGTTTGCACTCACCTCTGAGTGCACGCGTCGGTGCTTTGAAGAGGTTTGGGCATTTTTTTAATACCAGTATCTGCAACATTTAAATATGTATGGTATTCTCGTGATTTTGCCTCGGGAGATTTTAAGTTTGATTATGCGTTTTGTCCTACATACTCAGTGCTTGTCCCGAGGCTTGTAAAAAATTCACAAGCTTACTTGGATGGGACTCGAACCCATGACAATTGGATATTTTCATTTTGGGTTGTCTAATTGATTTCTGAACAATATTGCTGTTGCATTTCAGTAGAAAGTGAAGTTTTTGAATATGTAGCATTTTAAAACATATAAATCTCATCAGTAAGCAAGGACTCGGGAATATGACAAAGGATATGTAAAATGTATCCTGTGTTTGTAAAAACTGTCAGTACTCATCAAAATGACGCCGTCATATAAGGCATGCAGTGACACCTCGTAAATGTATAATCATGAATGTACTTACATGCATGCGTGCCTATACATGTACCTGCATTGCACATACATGTAGCTTTAGCTTTCATTTATGTGTTAAAAGACATTAGGTGTCCATTTTCTGTCTAATATTGTGCATGAAGATTTTTCTGGTTAATTCCTCTCCTACTATTATGTACATGTACATGTACAGTGTAACGTGGTCCGTCATTAGATGCTTTTGTGTACTTGTACGTGTATACATTTGTGCAGTTTCATTTTGTTCTTTCGCAGCTTTTTTGTCTGGTTTCTATTTGGCACTGGCATTGAACCATTATGCTTGTGCACAATGCACTTTGGAGTTTGCTCCTAAGCATGGAAACCAAATATTGCATACAAAGGAGACAGCCTGTGACTGACCGCTGTCTCTGTGTGAGGCAGAATGCTTGTGTCAACACTTACCTATGCTAGTAATTCCCGAAAATAGGACATTTTTAAACCGTATTGGAGTAGCGGCCCCGGCCAATTAGTCAGTTTACACATGTACATGTAATGTACATGTATTGTACAGTGTGCATGTACGTACATGTAGGGAAAAAGGAATTGGTTGGTCAGGCTATGCATTTTGTTTGTTTTTGATGCACATGCGTACATGACATGCATGATGCACATTGTACCGGTACATACTGCACTGTACATGAGGAAATATAATTAAACATGTTGAAATGGGTTGCACCCAACATGCCCAATGCCAATATTGTATAACTCTGCACATGCAACCAGTACATACATTAATGATGAATGTGTAGTATTACAGTAAATTCTGATTAGTCGATCCATGGCAGCAGGCAACGTGACTGTCTTGCACAGTTCACATCAAACCCCTGGTAATGCGCTATTCTAACCATTTCCACCATTCTAACCTAATTCATTAGGGAGACATTGAAATGTCTCCCTAATGACCCATTTGTAAGAATACTGTAGTGCATGCGCATAGGATAAAGATAGTCTTTGCCAAAATTGAATATGTTTACTTGTACCGGTACACACATACATGTACATAACATACGCACCTGTACAATGTGTAGAGCACCGATACCTGTATGCTTCCAGGTACACAAAAATGTAATGATCCCCTGCAGAAAGGTTTATCATGCATACATACATGTACATTTATGCACCGGTACATGTAGGCCTTACTTTAATTTGAACAGTGTTCAGTGTGCGCGACATGAATGCTTATACCAGTGTGCTGTTTGTTGTTTGCTACATGTACATGTTGGTTTGCAGGGCGGTCATATTTCTGTGACACAAAAGCAAAGTTTAAAGCACCGTATTTAGACCAATAATCATTGTCTATTCATTTTGAAGCTTACAGTAAGTACTGCACATGTACATGTATATGTGTACATCTTAATGCACCCATCAACCATGTCAACCAACCACAAGCTACAAGCTTACCGATACTGGCTCATGTAGACATATTGTTATTGGTTCCCTTCTGACGGCCCCAGTGTTTTTTTGTTTTTTTTTTACAGATGCTGCCTTGAAGATCGAGCCCATCTATCCCACTTTTAATGTTCCTGAATATGGAAGTGCCACCACGACGTGCACCAATATGGACCTGTTTGGCACCCAGCCAGAATGGGTAGACCCCTACGGTCAAGTGGTCGGGCCAGCGGGTGGAGGTTGGTAGCATTAGTGATGACCATTTGTCAACCTTTGTTCAATTTTCCCTGGTAACCTGTTCGTAGACTATGGTATCGGTACACTGTATACCTCATAACATGTCCTTAGTATCCGGCAACAATTGACCAGTAGTTGATTTTGAAAATGGTCATCGCTCGGATTTTGTCCTCTAGTTTTCAAGCTTCAGAAAGCATTAAGAACTGCACTCACTATGCTTTGTAAGCCAAAAATTTACCCGGCGCTCAAATGGTCCTAGCTAGAACACTGTTTATTACCTAAAAAATTGGAGAAATATATGTACGTGTACAAAAGATAAAGTCTTGTCTGCTTGTGGTTCTGCAGTACACATGGTACATGTACTAAGTTAAACTACGAATTTATATTTGCCGAATGGGCGTTGTTGGCCAAAGAAATTAACCCCCAACATGGCCGAATATTTTGATTTTAAGTTTTACACACCTTAGGGAGTTAGGGTTGAGGAAACTTTGGGTCACATTTCCCTTAAAAAAAAAAGGAAGACAAGTACATGTACATTTGTGCAGTATTGAGCTGTGTACCGGTATTTAAAAACCTGCTCGACATGCTCGAGAACCTGACCTGGATGTTTTCGAGAAAAAGGGTCACCGATGTGTGACTGGGCGGTCACACGGATACTTTACTATCAATCTCGATGAGTTGCATGTTCAGGAAAGATGATCATCTTATAAATGGTACTTGTCTGAAAATACTCGAATCGATCTGAACATGGTAGGCCCTAACCTTATTTGGTTGTATCTGTACAGGTGGTTCTAACGACAAGCAGGTGAGTTTTCACACCAACCCTGACACGGGCCTGAAGTACACCAGGATGCATTTGAGCAACATTCTGAAGGCTGCCAGCGGCGGGTACGTGTGCCGCGCCGACGGGGAAACCCAGAGCATCAACATCAATGTCTACAGTGAGTTGCCCTCTTGAAATCTTCCCCCGAAAACCGACTCAGAGAATGGAGGTTATCCGTTGCTGGCGTCTCCATGGTTGTCTCAGAGGCTGTTTGGTTATTTTATTTTAGTCAACAAATTTACATAAGGTTTACTGGAGCCTATCCCAATGATATAAAGCTTTTGTCCTCTGTTACATAACTAGAGAGAGACTTTCCCGTTTGAATGTTTGCAAAAAATAAAACTGTGAAAATTGCTACTGATGATTTCGTTGGAACAACGAAAAAATATTTTTAAGTTGTGTGTTTTAGTATTCAAGGCATTAAAGTATAAGTAAACTATCTGTAGGTTATGGAAGGCAAAGTCATTTTATAATGGGTACCAGTTTCATGAATGGAAATTAAACATCAATCTATATATCTACTGCATGGTATTGAGTTTTAGTATTCAAAGCATTAATGTACATGTAAAATACCTGTAAGTTACGGAAGGCAAAAATTCATTTTATAATGGGTACGGTACCAATTTCATCAAGGGCAATTTATGAACAGCAGTCTACACGTATGTGGTATACGTATGTGCACTGCATGCTGCTGAGTTTTGATTCACATGTACATGAAACTGGGAAAGTAGGCATGAATGCCCTGCAAGAATCAGATCTCAGATCTTTATGTTGAATTTCAAATGTACATGTTGGAAACAATGTACATGTATACATACATGTACATTCATATAGTCAGAGTACATACATGTATGTTTGTTTTCTTTGAAACTTCCCGGGTTGGTTGAAGGTCAGCTACAGATTAATAATCCAAAATAATATTGAATTTCAGGAATTGGTTTCCTTTGCCCTCTTTCCCTGTGTAGTACCCGTGACTTTGGTTAACGAGGATGCAGAGAAAAGCCAGTGGATGACCTACCATGAGTCGGGGAGTTTGTTGTGCACGATGCGTGGAGAGGCCAACACTGTGGTGTCATGGGACGGACCCAATGGGCCCATCACAGACGGCAAGTCAATTCCAGTCATTGGAACAGACGTAATAAATATCAGCTACATGAAGCTGCTATGACATACATCAAACTGTATTCTGACCGTGCTCTGAGAGTTGCAGAAGAATCCCAAGTCATTCAACCAACTTCCTACTTTAAGTAGTGCTTATTTCCTCACCTGTTGACCTGTTGACCGAGATTTGCTGACTTGCTCAAATCCATTGCAGTGCCGACATCAGCATGAGAGCAAAACCTGATATAAAATGAACATCCCTACCCCCGTGCAAAACCCACTGACGTCATTGACCACTAGCGGTATCCGCTGCTACATTGGAATCAAGCCAACCAACCAATCCCGGCAGACTGGGTGTGCTGGTTAGTCTAGTGGTTAAGACGTCTACACTAGTAAGCAGGAAGTCGTAGGTTCGAATCTCATCTGAGCAAGCTTGGGATTTTTTCCACAGCTCTTGGACCACATTGAAAATACTGTGTGAATATACATTGATTGTTACGTAGGCACATTGGCAAAACCTAAATATTGAAAATAAACATACCTTGGCACAAAGCCAATTAATCTGATTTGTGACAATTTTGTTAGGTTGGTTCCCACGGAAAGTATCAGTTGTTTCCTTTTCTTACGGTCGTCCTTGGATTCTTAACCCTTTACAGGAGGTCGTTACCTCATCACAGACATGTATGGCTTGACCATTGATAATGTCACACTGAATGACGAGGGATCTTACAACTGTCGAGGCTCTATACCAGACATTGGCGTGGCCACTGTGCTCACCATCCAGGCAGACGTCTACAGTGAGTTGGATTGCGCATTTGTGTTATACTTCACCTCATTAAAACAAATTTTTTTTAAAAATATGAAATAGAATTGCTCTGTAGAGTGAGGGTTCTGTGACATAGTTATCAGGTTATGAAGGCGTTGACTGAAGTCAAAGTTGAGAATTTTTTTCACATATGATATCAAATTTATATAACAGGTTTTGCCCTTACCCAACGTACATATTAATAAGCACTGTATGCTCAGTGCTTGTCCGAGAGCTTGCGAAAAAAGTCACAAGCTTACTAAAAAAAAAATACATCTTGAAAATATGATATCAAAGTTCTTTCAACTGTGTGGCACAAGGGAGTTTACATTCCAGTGCCTTTGAAAGATAGGTGATTTTTGGGGTACTGGGGAATTGTGTTTTAAAGTGCATTAGCTACATGTACCACTGCAGAGTGCAAATGCCTATTTATAAACACGTACATAACAGCTCTTGGTACATGCACATAAAACGGAAGGTGTTGAGTTGTCAAAGATCATGATTTTATGGCTGCAATTGTGATCCTTGCGGAGATCTACGAAGCGGTATAAATGTGGTATATGTGGGAGCATACCCCAGTCCTTTTTTTATTTGGCAAAGTTACGTTTGAAGATGAAAAATTTCAGCCAGAAATGCTCTGAATTTTTTTGACATGTGTTTTTTTGTGTGTAAACCTCTTTCAGTGGTACCGAAGATCAGGTATCCCCCGATCAACAAGAACGCCACAGAAGGGACGAGCGCCTTCTTCACCTGCGAGGCCATCGGGGAGCCCCAGCCCGACTACACCTGGTATGACGGCTCGGAGGCCCTGGAAGACCCCGCCAAGTACCTGATTGAGGAGGACGGCAAACGCCTGACCATCCTCAACTTGGAGAAGGATGACCAGAAGCGCTACACCTGCCAGGTCCGTAGCGGGAGTTTTCACATTCTCAGCAGTGTCTGAAAGCCTGTGTGTGGAGAATTTTCAGTGATGTTATTTTTGACGGTCGGGTATCAAATGAAATCTTTCGCGTGGTTGTTCAACTGAGTAATAGAGTAATTCTTGCCGTGCGCGCAGGTCTCCAACCCGGCGGGCTATGATCGGCGTGACGGCGTGCTGACGGTGGACATCCCACCCACCCCCACCCGGGCCGTCACCCAAGAGAAGGACGAGCGGGAGAGTGTCACGTTCTTCTGCGACATCATGCGCGGGGACCGGGAGAATCTGGCGCTGCAGTTCAAACGCTACGAGAAGTGGCTGCCCATGGGAGTACAGGTCAGTGCACGGGCCAAGAAATCGCGGGAGACCTTTGGGCTGCGTTGTGGGTGGAGGAAGATGTCTGGGCACTAGTCTTGCGCAGATCGACGCTAAAAGCGTCGCATTGGGATCCCTCTGTTACAGTTACAAATTAATTTTAAACGGTGGTAGTCACAGCAAACATAATTTTTTTTAAAGAACTGTTAAGGGTACACATGTGCCAATACACTTTTCGTACTTATCTGTAGGTTTTATTCGCGGCAATATATAAGTGAAACATCATGCTTGAAACCACAGAAGTAAAACCTTAATGTAAAACTTGTGCAACCTCCTGTTGAATTTATGCATTCTTTCCAAAGCTTGCAAGTGGAGTTGTGGGATTGCTCAAGCTTTTACCCTAAGGTACCCAGAAAACCATGTTAAAAAGTGATCAAACCTTGTTAAACCCTTGTTACACCTTGTCTACGTTTAGTTACCTACTGTTGAATTCAGGCATTCTCCCTTAACCCTGCAAGTGGCACGTGTACATGTAGAAGTATCCTATGATATTCTTGTTAACCTTATACTTATTCTTGTTCAACCTTTAGGTACTTGTATAAACCTCTGTATTGTTTGCATTGTGTATGCTTCCCAACCTTGCAGGTGGACTCACGAATCGTGATACAGCAGGAGACAGGGACGGGCCCCGATGCCGGCCAGCCAGGTAGCCTGTCCCTCACCATTACTGACATCCACCGAGGCGACGAAGGTGACTATACCTGCTTTGCCCGCAATAACGGTGGCTACGCCATGTCGCATCACTTCCTACATGTCAGATGTGAGTACCCCCTGAGACTTTTTAAGCAGTTCCACGTGAACTTTCGATGACCCTGTGTCTTTGGCATGAATTTTGTAGTTTGGTTGGCAGGATTTTGTTCGTTAAGACATGGGCGTAACAGCATCGTGCTAAGTGTAAAATCTTATTGGCTGTTCCTTATCTGCTCGAGCAGAAGTGCACCCCCATTCGGCGAAAAGACAGACAGGTGGTGACAGGCGGGTTCTTGCACACATTCTGCGTGTACACAAAGACCATACATGCTGGAGTAAATTAGTTACACGTACTCAGTGTGCTCCGCGTCAAACGGGCATATACTTGCGCGCCTCGTGGCGCTCCTAGGCAGTGAGTACCAAAAACACGCCCTCTTTGTTCACCTCAGAGCTGATTGGCTCTCCACTAGCTGCTCAGGTGTCTTCAGGCCTGCAAGCTATGATGCCCAGGGCACTTTTGAGGAATCCTTGGTGTCATTACCAGAAATAGACCCAGTGAAAGTGTTTCTGGATGCCAGTTTGACGGGTTGTTCTATGCAACTAGTTTTCTCCAAATTATACCACAGTACTCCTCGGCACTTCCATATTTATTTGTCTCTCCACTTTCCGTAGATGCACCGGTGATTAATCTGGACTACAGCACCAAGAAGGTGTATTCTTGGATCGGTCACCAGCTGAATCTCACCTGCCACTGGTATGGCTACCCGGTGCCCATCGTCTACTGGTTCGTCAACAGCCAACCCCTCGTCGGCACCATCGGAGACGTTGCCGGGAACGCCACCATTTATGATTTCAACAATGGTTCCAGCTCTCTGTTTGTAAGTTGAAGACTGCATCACTTCATACAGGGCCTGTTTGTTTTCGCATGGATCTAGGTCTCCCCGTCAGTGGTCCCAACGCCGACTTTTTCCATCCATTGGTCCCAATGCCGGTTTTTTCCATCCATTAGGCAGGGTTTTGGTGGCAGCAATCCAACGGCAGATTACTGGTTGAGATCCGATTTCTTGCAAAACAAACAGGCCCATTGCTTCGATATTTGAATTGATTCTGTTATATTCTGTTGTGTGTAGCGGTTGGGGTTCTAATCCAGCGATGGGGCATATTTGCCTCTCTCCACCAACGAGTACAAGTGGATACCTGTGAGAGCAGAGAGATTATTTTTGAGTGATAAACCCACTGACGTATATAAAAAACCTGGACTTGCAACGCCTTTGTATGAAAGAGAAACCAACCAGCGGCCATTTTACCGAGCCAAATACAAAAGCGTGGGTTGGCTCCCTTCTATTGATGTCAGGAAGAACAAAGGCGGGCATTGCCAAGAAAGCTTTGTATTCGGCTCGGCCTTTGGAGTCCAGATTTTATTATACACGTCCGTGGGTAAACCTGGTAGCACTTGAAATGATTGCACCAAGGGTCGGTATTTTCTATGGGGAGTCGGGATTGTCTCTGAGCCCAGCGAGTAAAGATCACATGGTGTAAATGTGCCTTGAGCATCCATCTGTTCTGAAATGATGGGGGGAGGGGGTTGGTGGGTTTTACATTTTGTCTCAGTAACAACCACAAGTCTGATATCATTGGGAAGAACGACTCGAGAAGTTCACTGGTATGCACCAGTGAACTTTTCGAGTCGTTCTTCGTATTCTTATTATTTATTTACCCACACTTTGTGGCCAATAAGCCAAATTATATGTGAGCTTACAAAATGAAGAAAAAGATTCATATAATTTAAAAGCCATTAAAAGTAAACACTTAAACAGAAAAATATATAAAGACACTTAAAAACAAACAATAGGAATTTCTTTTACATTAATCTATAAATACATATAACTTAAAATGATATAAATATTAAAAAGACAGCCTCGTAACAAGGAAATGTGCTCAGCTAAGAAAAATAGAAATTAAGGTTAAAACAGCTTGTAATACAGTGGCGTTATGACTCTTTGAAATATTCTGGTAGATAAATTAGATTTTTCCACTCTGGTAAATAAAACAGTTTTTCCACTCTAGTAAATAAATTAGTTTTTCCACTTTGGTAACTAAAAATATTTTTTTCTCTGTAGAAAACAGTTTTTCCATTCTGGTAAAGTTTTCTGCTCTGATAGATAAATTAGTTTTCGCTGGTGGAGAGTTCAGGAGGAAGTAGCAAGTACCCAAACGCACTTCGTGTAAATCTGTGATATTATTCTTTGATTCCCTTGCATTTTTCGTGCTTCTGATCAGATTGACACAAAAGACAGCGACTTTCGGCCGTACCAGTGTGACGGAAGAAATAAGTTTGGACGTGTGAGACACCACATACAGTTTGAGCGTGCCTGTAAGTGACAATAAGGCATGACATTGTGTAATGTCAGTTCCATTCCCGATTACTTGTTGAGGGCATTGATGTGGGATCTGAAGGTGCGTGATGTATCATTCCGGAGGTTTCCACCCACCTGTAAAATTTGTAATTTTTGTTGTCTCCTCTGTCTACGTTCCTTCAGGCCTCAGCAGTGCCCTTCAGGCATTCACTCTTGAGGACCATTTGGCTTCCTCACCAGAAAATAATTTGGAGTGAACAAAATAAACCAACCTAGACCAACCTTCGTACAGGATGAAGCTTTGTGATGACCTTTATACCTATCCTCAGACACCCTAGATAAAAGTGGTTCATAAAAATCCTGGTGCGATCTGTCCGTAGATCCCATGAAGAGACCGACCAATGTCCGAGCTATCTCGGCCTCCTCGACTGCCATCCAGATCTCCTTTGACAACCCCGTCGAGGTTGGGGCAGATTTCCCAGAGTACCTCAGGATCCTGGGCTATGTGATTGGCTACAGCGAATACCAACAGCCGACGGAGATGTACGAGATTATCCAAAACAGTAAGTGTCAGATGAATGATATCGAGAAAGGCCGCGTCCGAATAATGTGGCTACGGCTTAAAACTACACAGGAGTGGCTAAAGATGCTTCTCATAGAGTTGTGCATTGTTTCTAGCCGTAGCCAAATAATTCAGACACCTGCTTGTTCATTAGCCACTTGTCAATACTATAATCCCCCATCCAGCTTATCCCACATACTAAATGCTACCGTTGCTTGTTTGCGCTAGGAAGTCGCCAGGCGGTATTTGTCATACCTGATAGGGCGGCAGTGTTTTTTAATGGTGTGTGTGAATGTCCGTCGGTGTACAAAATAACGGTATGGAGCCGTGTGCTCCCCAGGAAATGGAGTTGGTGTCTGGGCCCGATGAGCAGGGGTAATACTGACGTGACATTTGATCACCAGTATGGGTAAATATGCACCAAAGTCATTTCATTTAGCTGTGAACCATTTTCTGTATACCTGGGCAGGAGGCTAGGATTTTGCTCAAACTATTTCGCAATACTTGACGAATGTTGGACATGCGGATATACATTGACACGTGGAATTACAGAAACAAGAATTTTGACGTCACTAGTCTTTGTGATGACAACGCAAAAAAACTGGCACTGCAAATGAGACAAAAAGAGGACTTCTGGTGGACTAACCGACAAAGTCCAGTGTTGCATGTGACAGTCTGCCTTTCCTATCCCTACAGTGTGCGAGCCAACAGCGTTCCAGTGTGGACTCCTGTGCATTGAGAAAGAACGGCGCTGCGACAACTTCATGGATTGCTTGGACAACAGCGACGAAGAAAACTGCAGTAAGTGTCCAGGATAAAAACGGGCCCTGACCGGTGCAAAGTACATCGCACGTGAACCTGACTGACGGAATAACAACACGTGGGCATCGTTTCAGTGCCCAGTTAAGACATACTGTTCAGTTTTGACTCACAAACGTGTCAAAATGTAAGTTGAAAGTGCTAAGATGTAAAACGATATGTGTTAAATGGAAGATGGTAAAATAAGGGACACTGGCTTGGGTCAGAACACAGCGATGGATGTTTCGTTTTGGACGAGCGTTAGACTTTACCGAAGTTTGTGCTCCTTCTCCACGGGAAGAGTACGGTGCATCGTGTGCCGCCAGATTGGGCCTACCTTTTGGCGGTAAGCCATTGCCAGCCACACAAGAAAACCAACACGTGTGCACGCTTTTGCAAGCACAGTATAGGCCAGAGTCTTTCAAAACTTCACTCTAGTTTAGCAGGAAAAGGTGGCAGGATACTGAGGTGTTTTTAGCTATTGATGTTCGTTATTTGTAGTCAAATCTAGCAGGCAGGTATTTTAGCCACATTCACCGGTACTTCTGCACCTACTTTATCCACTGTCGGCATCTCCTGCTCTGGTCAGACATCCCACTGGTATTCCTGCTTTACCCGTTTCTGGCTTGATTGTTCTAGCTACATCCACAGTAGGTCAGGCTTGTGGCAGGACGATTAACCCCCCAAAATAAAATAATCCTCATTTCACTTCTGGTCAGCAAGGTAATAGAGTCCGGTTTTTTGTGGCTTCCAATTGTAATGTCTGTCCTTGATGTATCACTTTTTTCTCTCATGACCTTGTAGATCCACAGGAGGACTGCCCCGGTGGTTTCAAGTGTCCAGTCCGTGATGGCAACCTTAACCCTTGCCTACCTCTTGCCTATGTCTGTGACCAGCAGGCGGACTGTGTCGATGGTGCTGATGAATCTGAAGAGTCCTGTAGTGCCTACTATCGGCCCATATGTGAGTCCTTGCGCTTGCTGACCCTGGGTTGTCGCAGCTGCGACCAGTTACAATTCCGGCCACAAGGCCACTCACAAGACCAGTCACAGAGCCAATCGCAAAACCAGTCACAAGACCCAGACACAAGGCCAGTCTTAAGACCCAGACACAAGGCCGGCCGAAAGACCAGTCGCAAGACCAGTCAAAAGGCCAGTCACAGGGCCAGTCACAAGACCCAGTCACAAGGCCATTCAAAAGACCTGTCACAAGACCAGTCACAGGGCCAGTCACAAGACCATTCACAAGACCTGTCACAAGACCAGTCACAGGGTCAGTCACAAGACCATTCACAAGGCCATTCACAGGGCCATTCACAAGGCCACTCACAAGGCCATTCACAAGACCCAGACACAAGGCCATTCACAAGACCTGTCACAAGACCAGTCACAGGGCCATTCACAAGACCTGTCACAAGTAGCAGGGTGAACAATACCAGAGGAATGCTTGTGTTGTAGGTCATTTGAGTAACTTGTGACTTGCATTCAGACTGGAGGCCTTGTCCTGCTCTTGTGATGGTCTTATGGGGTCACAACCACATTGCTACTGGTGCCTGGTGCTCTACCCAAAGGCCTTTCATCACTCCTGTGTACAAGTACTCCATGAGAAACTGGCGAGTACTTGTGAAGTACGGGGGAGGATTGGGGGGAGACCTGACTGCAGTTCTGGTCACAATGTAATGTGCCATAGATCTCTCAACTTGAAGGATGAGGTAACCCGAACAGTCTAGCCAGGGTTTGAGAACCTTTCTCTCTTTCAGTTTACGATATGAGGTTGAAAGGACTGGCTCCAGACCGCATATACCAGTTCCGAGTTGCCGTTATGAATGAGGTCGGTTGGGGAGAGTGGTCGTTCAACACAACGGAGCGCACACTCGATTATGGTAAGCAACCTTTTTATTTTTTTTTCATGTACAGATGAGCATACAGAGGCAAGCTATGGAGCAAGTTCAGTCAGCGACAACTTGTCAACCAGTGGTCAATTTTGACTGGTAACCTATGCATTAAAAACAAATATATATAATGGACGCCAGGGAAAATCGACCGGTGGTTAGCAAATAGTCACTGATCGAACATGTCCGTGACTTTGGGATGCAGCCAAATGTAACCCAAACTGGCAAAGTGAGCAGCAAGTCATCAGAGCAACTTTCAAGTGACAAACCTTTGGAGTGTTCTTTCTCCACAGAAATCAGTAGTACATGTAACTATCAAATTTGACACCCGCACGATGTCCATTAGGCTATTATTGTTCTTTCTTTAATGTTTTTGATGGTTTTTATCGGATTGTACCGCACCCTGTGATATGTTTTTACCGGGTATGAAGGACACTTAAAAAGAAATTATTATTACAGTCCACTCTCGGTAATACGAGCTCGGGTAAGATGAGACTCTGGTTTGGATGAGTATATTAGCCTGTCCCCACTGAATTGTGCACTTTCCTATGAGGGAACAAATGTGTAATACGAGCTCAGATGTTACGAGATTTCAGTTAAGACAAGCATTTTTTGCACACCGGCCGAGTGCAAATCTATTATCTGTCTATTTAGCACAAGCTTTTTTGAAGGCAACTTGTCAATCAGCCAGTCCAGTCAATTTTGAAAGGCGCTTCCATAATTTATGCGTGTACAGTAAAACAGCGCTGCGGTTTTCCCTTAGCAAATCAAGCCGTTTGTGTCCGGTGCTGCAAGAGAGACAAGTAATGGGCGTTTGCGGTTCCCGTACCCAACGTAGAAATTCTTTGTGGTGGCTCTCCTACCGCTTGAACACAAGCGAGTGCCGCCAAAAGTGCTACGATATTTAGGACAGTGGTGAACAAAAGAAATCTTTGGTTTGATTCCCCCCCAAATTCCCCCAAGACCAAAGTCCCCCCAGGAAACTACCGTATTAAAAATTGTGTTCCGTGACCAGACACCCTGCCCCAGAAAATGCCCATCTCCCATCAAAAAATTGTAACCCGCTCCCCACCGTAACATGAAAATATCACCCTGATTTTGACATTTCTGATTTTGACATTTCTATAAATTCTCAATTGAAGAAAATCATGACTAAACCGTGGTTTTCAGTCCCAAAATAGCTGGTTTCCCTCATTTTTATGTGCAACAAGAGCAGCTTTGGTGTGGGTTATCAACTAAAATGTTAATGTCCTTACGTTACATGTGTGCATGTGGATCTCATCACGGCGTGCGGGGCCAGAGACGTGTGATACGGCATCACTCCGAATCAACGTGACTGGTGGAAATTCCACTTCCTCCATTCTTACATTTTATAATTTTTAATTTTAATTTTTTAATTTGTTACAAGTCTTTATTAATTAAACTGTATTTCACTTTCATAAACAAACTTTTTAAAATCAAATTCATTTAATAGAACGTTTGTGCCTTTAAACAAAAAGTTATGCATACCTGTACACACGTACACTTTACCTACGGTCGATTGGTGATACCCACATCGAGCAGGACAGCAGCTTTCGCGTATGACGAGGTCCGGATAATACAAGCTAATGAATTAAATCCCATGGCCCTCGTATTAACGAGAGTCGACTGTATCATTCTGTCTGGATGCCAAGCTGAGTGATTGATTGACACAAAGAAGTCAATTCGTCCTTTCAAATGCATGCTAAAACAGGGGGTCTGAAAGAACGGTCTCAAGATTTCAGTCTGTGGGATCAGATCACACTTGTGCTCAGTCCTTGACCCCTGCTTTCCTCCTTTTATACACAGGTCCACCCAGCGAGCCCATGATCTTCAATCGTGAGCCTGAGAGAAACACCATGTACGAAGTGGTCTGGTTGGAGCCCTATGATAACGGCGGTTCACCAATCCTCTCCTACGAGCTCACTTACTCTCGGGTATGTCAAGATGGACCATGTCTGAAGATTAGAAAAAGGCATTTTTGTTTTGTCTTTCCTTTGACTGTGGCCATCCACTCTATTTTTGGAGTGATAAAATTCTCAAGCCGTGGCCACACAATGGCCAATTCTAATGCAAGCCAGTGCCACAGAAAAAACACAAGAAGTAATTTGGAATTTTCACATGCAATTGAAGGAGGAAAGAAGCTGCCTAAAGTCACACACCAGGAAGACATTTTGGAGGCAGACAAACATGTAGCACACCTGTAATATTAGTTTTTTTTCACAGGTCTTCGCAGATTAACTGCTTCAGTCTTCAGCAGCTGTTTACACAGCTATTATGAAATATACAGCTATTTTAAAGAGACATGTGACCTGTCACCACAAAATGGGGTGAATGACGGAATTTTCAAAAGTTGAGATATTGGCCTTTTTTAAATTCAGCAGAAAGAGAGCTTTCCTCAGGTATGCACATGGAAGACTTGGGGTAGAAGTATAAGATGACAGTGTGACATTATTCTGGCAGTTTTGAGTCTTTGTTCCCGGCATTGTTTCAACATTTCAGACCTGGCACAAATGATTCTATCATCAAAATTGCTGAGAAAATGACATTTTTAAATATGAGATTCTGTGCAATATTTGGAATTAAATAGGAGACGGGTTATTCTTTCCAAATATTACAAAAACCTCAAACTGACCTCCACTTCAGTGTGACTTTGAACCCTCAAAATTGGACAGAATGGGATGTGACTTTACGCTCATTTTGTCGTGACGGGTCACGTACAGTTATAATGAAAACATGAAGCTGTTTATTTGAAACATAGCTGTTGGTATGAAGTAGACAGCAGCTGGTATGAAATAGACAGCTGCTGGTATGAAATAGACAGCTGCTGGTATGAAATAGACAGCTGCTGGTATGAAAGAGACAGCTGCAGGTAT